TGATGATCTTGTTCAGAAAAAATCAAAGTTTTGTTGCCCTTATTAATATAATTTTGAATCAAATATAACTTTTTAAGTATTGTTCTATGCATCTCCCATTCCACAAATGTGGGAAGTTGACCAGAATGTTGTAGGAGAAGGACTGGTAAAACCGGAGGAGGGATTAAAATGAGGGATCAGCCTAGAATCCCTATGTCATGACAAAGAATTCAGTCCAATCCATCCTTAACTGCCATTGAACCTTATCTAATTCTAACCAGGTGCTGACTGTTTGTTGAGAAGACTCCTGTGTGTAGGCTTTTATCAATAAATTAGTTCAATTGAACCTTCATATGTGGATCTAGTTTTTCATGCCTGACAAATATGATATAAATCAGGGTATGTTTTGAATCCCTTAAATTTTCAGGTTGGAAAATCTTGCAGAATACACAAGAGTTATTTTAGATAATCATTGAGGACAAATTATTTAAATAATCTTCAAGCATAGAGAATTTCAGAATTCCTATACTGTAAATCTAAACATTATCAGAAGTGAACTGAACTTACAATGAAATAATTTTGGACTGTCCAGGCAATAAAACAGCAACAAAAACCAGACTGACAATATATTCTGAAACACATACAGGATTCAGCCAAACTTCTGACAAAAGTCAGGACAAGCTAAGCTCCTATTTCAGCTATCAACACTATCCCAGAGACTGTCCGTGCTGGAGGTAATTATTGACCAATAGAATCCCATGGGAAGTGATACTGATTTTTTTACCACTTTTCAGTAAATAGTGTGTCCCCTTATGGAGCAATAACTGCAACTGTATGTTTCTGATAAATGTTGATCATTCCTGCACACTGGCTTGGAGAAATTTGAGGCCATTCTTCCTTACCCAATACCTTTAACTCAGGGATGTTGATGGGTTTCCTTGCATAAACTATCCGCTTCAAGTCCCTCCACAACATTTCTACAGGATTAAAAATAAGACTTTGATGTGGCCATTCCAAAACATTAATTTTCTTATGCTTTAGCTATTTTTTGGTTGTACGACTGGCATGTTTTGGGTTGTCATTTTGCTTCAACTTTTCTTGAACTTTAATTCACAGAGAGACATCCTGATATTTTCCTGTAAATTTGCTGGTATAATTCAGAACTCATAGTTCTCTCAGTGATGGCAAGCTGCTTGCAAGCCCAAACCATGATATTGCACTAAAGCGGTGGTGAACCTTCAGAGGCGGCACTCAGAGCGCTCTCTGTGGGCACACGCACCGTCGCCCCAGTCCTATTTTTGCTTTAGGACTCCGCCGCCGTGTGCAAAAAAAAGGTTCAATCAATCAATCAATTTCAACTTCTCGCGGGAAAAAAAAAGATCTTGCAAAGTTGGAATTGATTGATTGAACTTTTTAGTCCCACCCAGTCTGCTGTTACCACACCCATTCAGTGGGCCACACCCAGCCAATTGGCCACGCCCAGCCAATGGGCCACACCCACCTGGCACCCGATGATGCATAAGTGGGTTTTGGGTTGCAGTTTGGGCACTTGGTCTTTAAAAGGTTCACCATCACTGCACTAAGGTAATCCTTGATTTACAACTAAAATTCATTCCAGAATTATCATTGTAAATCATGTATTAAGCAGGTCACCATGTGACTGCATCCAATTTTGTGTCCTTTTTGCAGCGTTTGTTAAACTAGCATCACAGTCTCTAAGTGAATGCTGCATTTGTTAAGCAAACCCATTGTACCTATTGGAAAACACCTAGAAGTAAAGGCCAGTTTCTGGCAAAAAAGTAATAAGTTGTAGCATGTGACTGTGGGACATTGCAAATGGCTGTAAATGCAGGCTGGTTGCCAACTGCCCAAAATGTGATCTTGTGATCTCGGGGTGGGAGGCTATTAGAACTTCAAAATCAAGTCATAAGTAGTTATGGAGAGGGTTTGTTGTAAATTTGATTTTTGCTAAGCAACAATAGTCTAAGGACACAGGTTGGCAACTTGTGGCTCTGGAGCCGGATGTGGCTCTTTGAGCCTTCCCCTGTGGCTCCCAGCCTCCTCTGCCATTTGCAGACAGAGACAGAGACAGAGAGAGGTACTTGCGCTTCCCTGCTTCTCTCTCTCTCTCTCTCTCTCTTTCTCTCTCTCTCTCTCTGTGTGTGTAAAAGACAGTGAATTCACGGTGTTCTCCGACAAGCTGAAAAGCTTCTCTGCAGGAAGCAGGAAAGGCAAGAGACAGTTAGCTAGCCCAGCTATGCTGACTCAGGAATTCTGGGAGTTGAAGTCCATGAGTCATAAAAGAGCTGAGGTTGCCTATCCCTGAGCTTGTTGGAGAACAGCTTGAAGCCAGTTTGCCAGGTGAGCAGAAGATCGGAGAGAGGGGGAGAGGGGGAAAGAGAGAGGGGGGAGGGGACTGGTAGACCAAGGGTAGAAAGAGAGAGAGGGAGGGAGAGAGAGAGAGACAGAGAGACCCTTTTGACATCTAAAATGAAGATAACACTGCATATATCCTTTTTTACCTTTATGATATATATACCTTTATCATAAAGGTAAAAAAGGATATATGCAATATCTTCATTTTAGATATCAAAAGGGTTTTGCGGCTCCCAGTTTGTTTTTGGTGGGAAACGGGTCCAAGTGGCTCTTTGAGTGTTTTGGGTTGCCTATCCCTGGTCTAGGACTACCTGTACCAGGTTTCACAGATGAATTAAGATTTTTATGCTGGAATGTAGTCTTTACTTTTTTTTTGGCCAAACATAAAGCTTTTCATGATTTTTTTGTAATTTTAATTTGTTTTTTATATTTATAATTGTCTTCATATTTGCATATTTTACTGCATTGTAAGCCACTCAGATTCACCTTGAACTGCAAGATGGGGGCCAAATAAATTTAATAATAGATAAATAAAGCTTTAGGCCAACAACTTATATTTGATTTGGTCATCCCTCTTTCCATAGCAGATCATGTTTTAGAACATATTTAGGTCATATTAAAATATTGAAAATTCAAAGAGATTCACAAACTTTTAAGCATCACTATATGATCTAGATCAGGGGTCTTCAAACTTGCCCCTTTTATGATTGTGGACTTCAACTCCCAGAATTCCTCAGCCAAAATAATGAATTTTCCCTACAATGACAAGGAATACTGAATAATACTATGCCTCGGTCCAGGCAGTAACTTGCCAATGATTGTTTTAAATTTAATACTGCAACTGCAGGTTACATATGAGCATACATATTTTCAACCTCTGTGACTTTGGACTGATTGCCAGAAGTGAGGATATTTTCTAACTAGGCTTTACTATTGTTTATATCATATTTTTAATTAGGATTTTTTGAATAGCGTTTCAGGCTGCTGGATTGTGACCTGGCAAGCTGTTCTCTTGATACCAGCTTAGCATGAGATTGACACTTCCACCCAATTTATATATGACTGCTTGAGGTTTCTGTCTTGTTCTTGTCAACAGACTTGTTTGCTAAAAGAATGTCAGGGATTTTTTTTTTTTTAAAAAAAACCCTTGTATTTTAGAATGTTCAGACTTTTCTCTCCATGTTTAAAATCCATACTCAGTGATCCAGACTGTATATTTTGCAAACAAGAACACCTCCAAGATGCCTTCCAACCCTGTTATTCTATGTTTTCTGTTCAATAAGGTTTTGTGGCATAGGAACAGAGTACTCTGCCTTAGCTGATTGCTTAGGTTTGGTTGTCATATGGAAAAGTGGTACCATGATGGAAAAAGTGATATTGAAAGAACCCCAATCTTTCTGAAAAGGATCTTCTGATCACAGAGAAGTTTCCGTGAAACAGCTCTTCCCATTTGCCTTTTCTTTCATTGCATTCCCCCCCAGAAAAGATAATCTCTTCCTCTTCAGGAACAATTGGGGGAAAGGTGATGTTCAGAATTGGGCAGTGATGCCCTATTTTGCATCTACATTTCTGCAAATAAACTTCACAAATGCAATTTCTATATGTTCATCTGCAAACCAGCATTAATTTAGTTTCAACCCACATTATTTCTTCTATATTTTATACCATTCTGGATGTGAATTATATTACTGAAATAATGTTCAAAGATACATTAGAAAACAACTAAGATGTTTTGTCTTTAAGTTATTTAAATTTGGATTGATTGATTGCATGATGTAATGTTATGTGGGAATGACCTTGGGAGACACTGGGAGGGTGGGAAGATATGGTGGCTAGGGAACAATCAGATAAGGGGCTGGGGGTCTACAGCTGCCTAAGGGCAGAGAAAGAAACTCAGAAAGAATCCTTCCTAACTTATCAGGCTGTAAAAAAGAAATGGTGAAAGATTTGTACTTTCAAACTGAAAGCAGAATTAGCTCATCTGGTCTGACATGTGCCATCAAATTATTGCTAACCATTAGCGACCACATGGATTTTTCTTCATACTGTTTAAATTTTACCATTACCTTAATAACAATTCAGAGGATGTTTATAAATGTGGATTTCTTCCTTCCTTCCCTTCTGAATTTCTGATTATTTTTTATAACTTTTAACTCTAGGATCCTTCAGTGACGATACAGATTGCTGATATATTCTTTCCATCTCTTTAGTATTTTTCTGCTTTATTTTCATAGATTTGGAATTTTCTTTGCATTTTAAGAAAGAACATGAGAATTTTAATTTTAACTAAACTTAAGATCAAGCTTCTATCATTTTGAATGCTCAGAAACCAGAATGATGAAACAGTTAAGATATTAGTTTCAATGGCTTCATAAATCCCTCTTTAAATATAGGAAAACTAGGTTGGTAAATATCCCTATGTCCTAGTGCAAAATAAGCAAACCATAAGGCATGTTTTTACATTATATATAAAAGTTGAAAAGAATTAGTTGATAAATATAACATAGATTATCTTCTCTCTGCCCAAAACAAAAGAATCAACTATATGCATTCCTACAAAGTTGAATTTTATAATCATCATGTTGCTTGATTATAATAGATTAACATAAGAATAATTCTAATGCAATTTACCTTTTTTCTGTTAGGTTGGCAATATTCCACCAAGGACCATGATCAACTATATGATGCAGAATTCTAATGGAAAAAATCCTGGTATGACCTATACGGTACCTGTCCATTCAAAGTATATTGAAAACATTCCTGCAAGGACCTTCAGCAAATCACAGATGGATACATTTCAGCTAAAACCTGAAGAACAATTAGACGGGAACAATCTACTAATGACACTTAATGCATATATCACTCAGAAATTATCAGCCAAAAACCTCGATGGACATTCATCTGTTAGCAGGACTAAAGAAACTTCTCCTTATGGCAATAGGGCTAAACCTCTTTACAATGATCAATTTGATGGAATAATGTCCAAAGAAAAGCTAGGAAGTTTTGAGATGAAACCACAGTTTCTACAGAGGCCAGTATCTGGATTGGTGTCTGGATCTGCAAAAAATGATTTGAAGCTTTCTCTAAGTCCAATAGATGGTAAGGGATTCAAATATATTATCTGTATTTGCTTGTTCATCTTATTTTTGTTTTTGTTTCCTTTTAATTCAGTGATTTTCAAGCAGCGTTCAGGGAACCCTGGGGTTCTTTAGAACTGATTTAAATTCAAAAATTGCTTAGATAGAAATGTAATAATGATAGGCAAGCACCTCAGAAGTTCACGCTAATGAGCTTGATGAGAGGGGCAGTATACATTTCAGGGTGGATCGATAATCTAATGTATTATAGAGAGACCAAACAAGATTTAAAAGCTAAAGCTTATCCCATGGAATGAGATAACAACAGATAAGGATCATGACAATTACTGTAATTTCTCAACCCCCTTCAGAATTGCACTTTCTTCAGTTAAGAACTGCAGTGTAAAGTCCTAAATGGCCAGTTTGAAATTACCATTCAGGTTTGATATTCATATACAGTTCTTTTTTGTCATATCTCTTCAAGTACATTGTATGGCAATGGAACGGGCTCAGATGTTCTACTTTGAATTATGGCAAGTAAGGAATGAGGGAAATCCTGCTCCACCCTTCTTGTAGAATTTCTTAGAATCATGGACTGATGCTCCAATAATATGCATGGACACAGTTTATTTTCTTCAAATTGACATAACCGGTGACACATTAATTCCTTAGCAGAAACTTGGAGTATCACATAGCCATGTTTTGATGTGTTTTTTTTCTTTACGCATCTCCTTTGTACTGTATGCTTTCATTTTCTTTTGCTGTGAAAGCACAAAATCAATTGAAGTGTTCTCTTTAATGAGAAGAAAGCCTAGTGAGGACATTCCTAAAGTGAGAGCATTCATGGTGAGGCACCTGTCTGATAATAGCTTTCAAAACCAAAATGGAATGTAAATGTAAGTGCAGGTGACATCACACATCTCAGGAATAGGTCTACCATTAAAGCAAACTATGCCCATGCTGGTTTCATTATCATATGCAGTCCTTTTTCACCTTTCTTAGCAGGAGTCTACATAGAGCTGGGTACTTAACACTTCCAGAGAATGATGTGCTGCAAAATGTATTGGATTTTGCATGACTTCCTCAGGCATAATGGGATCTGATAAAACTTTTGTGATGTGTAGATACAATGCTGTGAATGCATGAAAAAAACCTCCTTTAATTCTTTTGTTTTGTAAATTTGGACTTTCATTGCTGCAACTGAGGAGATGTTAACATTATCTTTTTTGCTTCATTCAATTATATATTCATTTTTAAGATGATTCACATACCAAATATACCCAGCTATTTTTGCCAGCTTTTTTAAAGTTTAAATATTTGTAATGTATGGAGTATTTTTCAGAATTATTGCTATTTATGCCATTAAATCTGCAGTAAGTATTTTTTTGACATTGGAGAAATACTTTTTCATAATAGCAGGAATACATCGTTTGGGGGAGGGGGATAGGTTTTACATACAGATATCAGTTACTTTTAATAAGAAGTTTTATCTCCGGGAAATGTTCCTTTAATGGACTGCATCCTAGTGAGTGCTCAGAGTGAGAGAAAGCACACCATAGACAAAGTTTTTTTTTTCCCCTCTCTGTTTTGGCTTTACATATTCAATTAGAAAGATCAGCTGTTTAGTCGACTCTGGAGTTGGACATTCATTTTCTATTTCATTTCTTTTCCTTTACTTTTATTTTTCTTGAGATTTCAACTTTGCTTTGCTATTTAGATGATGAGATTTTGGGGGGGGGGGTGGGATTAGAGAGATAAGGCCTAATAGAAAAAAAAAGGGAAAAGAAATTGAAGTGAAAGGGAACAGAAATGAAATGCCTAGGTTCTTTTACACAACCCAGAGTTTTACTGGACAGCTAGTTGTGATATAAATGGAACTAATGTTGCAAACAAGCAAAATCTATACTAGTAGAAATACTAAAATTTATTTTAATAAGACTATGTTAACATATAAATGTTTGAGGTAGCTTTGTGAGCTTTTCCTAATTGATCCTATTTCACTACAAGTTACTAGTTTCAGAGCACAATCCTTGTCTTTTGAGTTTATTGTATCCAGAATAAGGGATGTTGTGCTGGCTTCTTATGCTGGCTGAGTTTTATGTAGTGGGCTTACAAAACTGCTATGAGAGCTCTGCTTTAGGAATAGATTTGTGTGTGTTTTTTACTATTTTTGTAAATAACTCATGGTGCCGAACATACCTAATACTCCTTCCTTGATCTATTTTGCCCATAACAACCTGGTGTGATGAGTTGAGCTGAGAGATTGACTGGCCCAAGATCACCCAGCTAACTTTCACACCTAAGAAAGACTAGAACTCACGGTCTCTCAGTTTCTACCTTGATCCCTTAACTACTAACCAAACTGGAGTAACTACTATATGTCTAATGGATTAAATTGTTTAATTATACCAACATTGTCTATGATAATCTTACCAGGTAGGATTTTAGAATTCAAACTTAGAAACAATCTGAACTAAGTTTAGAACTTGACTTCCTGATTCAGAGTCTTTTCTTGAATGTGAGAAAGTAAATTTAAAATCATACGTGGAAGCCCAAGTGGAGGAAAAAGAGGGAGAAAGGGAACCTGAATAAAAATTGCACAATATTCAGGGATATATTTATCTTCAAAATGGCTATGGCAGCATCACACATGCATAGTTAACTTAACCCATGATGGGGATTCATATACAGTAATACATAGAGTTACAAATTAATCACATATGCTACATTTGCACACCATGTAAAATTAGTTTGGTTAATTAGTTAGTTAATTAGTACATTGTGTGAATATCAACTAAATATCTTCCTCCTTCTCATTATGATATAGATGCAAATGATATGGATGCAAATTAATTCTTAATAGCACAAATATTTTTATATCTAAATATACATCAATAATAATATTTCTTTCATCTTGATTATATATTCATGTCTAAATAAGTTTTCTAATACATGGGGCATATATTCTCATATAATATATAGGAATGAATGCTTTATTTGGCCAAGTGTGATTAGACACTCAAGAAATTTGACTGCAGTACAGAGAATCTCCATGTACATGCAAAGCAACAGAACCACCATCACCTCCTCCTCCCCCTCCTCCCCCCTCCCCCCTCCTCCTCCTCCTCCTGCTCCTTCTTCTTCTTCTTCTTCTTCTCCTCTTCCTCCTCCTCCTCCTCTTGGAAGCCAAATCGAGAAAGTTCAAGAGGTGGCTGCTACAAAATTATCCCATTTTTTCATTGCTTTCAGGCATAGATTAAAATACTGAAAATTTCTGGGCTCCACCCAAAAGCAATGGTGCTAATTATAAATAGCTAAAAAAATGCTTACTAAAGAGCAATAATTTATTGACTTAAATTGTTAATATTTTAACTTTCAAGAATCTGTTAATAAGTATATATATTCTATTGCTGGTATAGCTATTACTGTTATTTCTGTTTTCAAGTTCTAATACATTGTATGATTATTGCTCTTGATAAGCATTTATTATATATTACCTAGATTCTAGCAGTCCAAGATCACTCAGTTGGTTTTGTGCAGGAGGAAGGAGTAGTACTCAGTCTCTCAGCTTAAAGCCTATTGCTTTAATTGTTACACCAAATCATAGCTGAGATTTAGTACAGGGAAAGTGTTGATGTAGAACAGAGTTCACCCACCTTTCTGGCTTTGCAGACTGGCAGGGGGAAGAGAGGATGGTTCTGGGTGAGCAGCAAGCACATATACCCACTTCTCGTGCAAATGGAGTATGTGCTCCCCCACTGCTCGCACAAGTGGGGATGTACACACGCATTTTCCTACCACTTCTGCTGCTCAGTTCCTAACGCCACATGACCCAGTAGTGGGCTGTGGTGCAGAGGTTGGTGACCCTTGTAGAGTGAATTAAATGTTCATTTATGGGATAATTGTTGGATGCAATCATTTTATTGTATTCAGGAATATTAGTTTATTGGTCTGGGTATGCATATATTTCATTATCAGTTCATGTCCAGCCGAGGTGGCACAGCAGTTAGAGTGCAGTACTTCAGGCCACTTTAGCTGACTGTGTTCAGCAGGTCAGTGGTTCAAATCTCACTGGCTCAAGGTTGACTCAGCCTTCCATCCTTCCGGGGTAGGTAAAATGAGGACCCAGATTGTTGGGGGCAATGTAAATATATATATATATATACATTGCTTACTGGTGTACACCGCTTAGAGAGTGCTTGCACTTAAAGCGGTATATAAGTCTCATAAATAAATAAATGTAAAAATTGATTGTTTCAGTAGGCATTGTTTGCAATTATATAATTACTTATATAAGAAAATAATTTAAAAAATTAATTCATTTAAATCAATTCAGTAAACATATTAGGAAAAAGAAAAAAATATTTCTAAGGTTATATTTATGAATACCTATTAGCATTGAATAATACAATAAGGAATTGTAGATAATTAAATATTTCCCATTGAAGACTGCAGCTAAAGCAGCGATGCTTTGTTTCTCTTTTTCTTATACATAATATTAAACTTTTCACAAGTAATCAAGCTTCCCTCCCCTCTTTCTTAAGAAATATTTATTCAAGACGTTTTGAGAGACCTGAGGAAACATAGTGTGGATGTAGATAAATTGAGCCCACTGGAGCTGGACAAGATGGCTGATATCATTGCTGAAGCTGTTCAAATTGTTGATACAAATGAAGAAAAGAGCAACGCCACTGGGAAGGTTGAAGGAGAGAGAACTGCAACAGGAGTGGATGGAGAAGGAGAATACGATTATGAAATGGGAGGGAATGAAGGTTTTCATGTGCGAGGTATTATATTCAGTACAGTAGTTTCCTTTATTTTAATTTTTTTACATAATCAGATTAAAATACCTTGTAAAGTATTACCAAGAGAAAAAAAAACCTTATTTTTTTTCCTGCTTTCCTTTTTCCCTTGTTGTGATTATGGCGTGTTCAAGAACGGGGCTGGTAAATTATCACTCAGTTGTAATTTGATCCAGATGATAAGTGAGTACAAATGGTGCTGTGACACTATTCATTCGTAGACATTTGTATTAGAGAGCTAGGATTAGGGTAGTGTGAGGATTGGGTAGTGTCTTTCAAAGGAAAACTGTTTGAACAAAGAAAAGTCTTAAGTGGTTTTCCCTCTTACTCACTAATTTTTAAGGAACATTTGCAGTGGAAATTCAGGGGGTGAGTGGAAAAAAAGTATAAGATAGGACTGCTTAAAGCCTTTAGATATAGATGCGCCCCTTAAAACCAGTGTTGTATTTAAAATTAGTGATCATTCTTTGTTGCTTTACTGATAGTGACTAACTTGAGTTTTATTTATTTAACTCTAATATAAATGTGATTAAATTTGGAACTAGCTATTGCGTATTATTTAGTTATTTATTTATTATTTTTTTATGCCAGCCATCTCTCCTATAAGGTGTCTCTGGGCAGCTTACAAGTTATAAAACAGGTAGAAAAATAATTGAAATATTAAAACAGTAAAGCTACATAGATTAAGATTTTTAAAACTATACTGAAACCAGAACTAAGAGACGGATGGGTGAGGATGAGGTCTTCTTAGCCATCAAACACCTCCAGCAGTGAGTGCCCTCCTCCAGGCCGCAAGCCGACCAGCAAAGCCAAGTTTTAATACTTTTCCAGGAGGCCAAAATGTTTTTTTTATTAAAAGTTTTAAAGATTTTATACAATATATATCCCAAATCCCTCCCACCCCTCCCCCTCCCCCACTTCCCAAAGCTGATTACAGGGTTACAAATAAACAATCATAATCTAATTAACATTACCTAACTATACAAACAGTCAAATCCATAACATGCTTTAACTCCTTTTCAAAGTAAATATTAACAAATTAAATACAAAAATAATAATATAATTAAACCATAAAAGTAAGAGTAATATAAATTCTACCATAATAAACTATTAGTAATAATCATAAGCTAGATAATACTTTTTAGTCTCATATTTATTCTGAATATAATCTATCCATCTTCTCCAAACCGAAATATATCTTTCTTGTGAGTAGTCCTTCAAATAAGTGGAATTTTTTGCCACTTCTGCTAAATTAGACACCTTGAGTATCCATTCTTCCATAGTAAGTAAAGAATCTTTCTTCCAATATTGGCCAGGAGGCCAAAACGTTTGAAGCAGTTCTCGCCTCTGGTGATAGAGTGGTATATCCTCCAAATATATAGGTTAGATGTGGTCTGAGTGGTACAAAAAGGAAGCCCTTTGAAATCAATAGGACTTAAATAGTCATGATTAACTTTACCACCATTGATTGCAGTTTAACTAAGTCAGTTTAACTAAGCACTAAATATTTCAAATGATACATCCATTAAACACAAAGAGGCAAATCTTTTTGAGAATAATTTTCAAGTTTATGAATAAATCTTGTTCTATAAGAATGGTGTGTTCTTGAATTCAGGGCCTTCCTGTTATTAATTAATATTTATTACTTTGGTCTATGCTGCTTGTTTCTCAAGACTTACAGATAATAAAGCTTGCAGCATTATTGTTCATTGACACATGAGCTAGGAATCTAGATATCATGTGTGTGAATGTATCTATCTATCTATCATGGTTGTTACTTATATATGAAGCACACATGAAGTTCAAAGGATCTATCATTAATTTATTCTTACTTCACAGAAATGCATAAACACCTTTTACTATACTACAGATTTTCTTGTTCCTGTCCTTGTTTGTGCAACAGAGTATTCCCCTATGTTATTTATTTATTAAATTTATATGCCACCTATCTTGTTATCAAGCAACTCTGGGAGGCTTGCAACAGATAAAACCAACAATATAGAACATTAAAATTAACAAAAATTATGTAAGATAGAACGAGGGTGGAGGTAGAGTCTTAATCCAGTATTTAATAATGTAGTGTTACTATAACTCTGAAGTAATTATTTCTAAGTGTGAAATAAAAGACATCAGAAAACCCTTTTCTTGAGAAACACCTAAGTCATAAATCCACTGCAGTTTCTCATTTATTACTGTAAACAATTTTTCTGACTAGCAGGACAAACTATTGATTTTTTTCCAGGCACTGATAAACAGAGGTAAATTCGTCAGCCTTACTATTGAACTAATTAATGTAATGCACTCTTACAGCATGGCTTCAATTGATCTTGCATTAGCAAAGTGTCCAAATGGAGTTGAAGTGACAAACTTGATCTATGTTTTTACTTTTGTCATTTAGCCACAACATCTTAATGTTTACTGTACAGTAATAGTGTCACATTGTACAGAAAACCAAAGCAATGTCTGTGTTTTATGTCTCACAATAAATGCTTGTTTCCACAGATAAGGGGGCATGGAACATTGCTGCGGAGATTAAAAAAGAGGTAAGTTAACAACACAGATTCCTACCGTATATATTTTTTCTAAACATACAGGGAAAATAAGATATTCTAAACATAATAAAAATGGTTTAGTTTTGATAGGACAACAAAGCGGGGGGGCTGGACTAGAAGACCTCCAAGGTTCCTTCCAGCTCTATTCTATTCTAAAACAATGCCAATGAGGATTCATCATAGTGATTTAATTCTACTGATTTGTCACTACTGCAAGTACTCAACATAACTAAACAATCAAAATATTTAATGTAGGCTGAAAGGTTTAACTCGTGCCATTAGCAGTATATTTGATTTAGTCATATAAATCTGTTTAGGATTGCAGTGATTTAATCTAAATTCTTCCTATTCAGAATGATTTTCCCCTCTGACCAATGAAAACCCAAATGGAGAGCAGAATATATCAAAATGATTTAGTTCTTAAGTAGAATATTGTCCCTAGAATAATGCTAATTAAAAGTCATCCCAAAATTGCTAGAATATATATTTGCTAGGACTGTGGGAGAATATGTAGTTACCCAGCTTGAATCAAATAATTTGGATGAAGAACATTATTGGGAACATTCTGTTAACAATGGAGCTAGCAAGTGTATTTTGCATAGGAAAATAGCTGGTTTTCATAGCAGTTTTCCTGTGCCTAAAATCCATAAAGTATACTTAAGGGTATTATTTTCTTCAGCACTGAAAAAGTGATACTATATGTTGGTAAGATCTGAAGAACTAAAACGAAAAAGAGTTTTCATAACTAAAAAGAGTTTTCACTGTGGTATATACACTAAAACCATTTTGCTTAAAATGTGGTTTTAAGATAAGGTTTACTGCTATAAATTCTTCCAAGCTATGAATTAATGTTTTAAAATTTGTTAGCAAACAACAGTGAGTGTTTTCATGGAGACCCATAAAAGAGAGCTGTTTGGAAACATATGTCCCGAAATGTGTGACCTCTTGAAAAATAAATACTATTAAGTTGAAAAGTGGGATTTTTTCTTTGTTCTTTAGTATAGCCTAGGATGTGTTTAAGTTAACTTTCAGCTTAGATGAATTCCAGGGTTTTTCATCCTCAAGAAATACTACCAACATAAAAACTGCTAAAATAATTCTTATAGCATAAGCTTTCTGTAAACTCTATTCTATAAAGCTGAACTGATGAATTAGACACAAGCAACTATAATAAGCTAGATGTATTTGTTGTTTGTTTATTATAGGAGGACCATCTAGATTCAAAGGTACCAGATTTCCTGAGTAAAAATATGGTTCCTGAAAATCTGCCAAGGTCATATTTCTCCAAAGAACCCTTTAAAACAGAAATGAAAAAATCAGATGATTTAGACCTCTCTTCTTCATCTGAAGAAGTCAAAGTTGGGATTGAAAATGTGAAGAGTGAAACCTTTTCGAGAGAACTGACTGCTCAAAAAAAAGCAGAGTCTGAACCCAGCTCCAAGGAGCTAAGTGAGCTTCATCACTGGATTAAGAATATGTGGCTTCAAGATGAAAGTGTTTATGAAGCAGTTCAAGAAAAGATTGGAGAAGGCCTCAAGTTAGATGCAAAGTCTTCCAAAGTGGAAGAATATGGCTACATCATGACAGAGAAAGAGTAAGTATGGATATTAAAAATGTATTTATGAACTTGCTGTCCATTGATGATAGAATAATTATTTAGAATTTGATTTAGTGTAATTTGCACACTGCCCCCTAAAGAATGTTTTCCCAACAATATAGTTGGATCATATTTGCCTGATCTGGTATCTTTGGGAAGTGTTGGATAGCAATTTCAAGAATTCCATAACCCTCTTTTGGAAAAAAAAAATTGTCAGAATACGGTTTTCTTGGCTAATGTCTCTCCCCAGTTGCTTTGCTAAAAAAGTAATAGCTTATATATTTCCTATGTAAATGTTTAAAAGAAAAACTATTTGTCTGCCTGTCTTCTGGTCCAGTGATTTGCAGACAGAAGTATTAATGGCTTGAAAGATATGTGTTTTAAATATTAGACTTCACAGTAGAAAACATGATAAATATTATACATTATTTTTTCTCCCTAATTTATTATGTTCATATTTGAATTAGAACAGTTCTGTATCTCTTCCTAAACTAAATAGTTTTTTTAAAGAAAATTTTATGGAGGTCAGTGAACTTTGAACTGAATCATTGTCAAAGCTTTTCTTTCTTTTTTTTTAAAAAAAAAGACTAAACTAAAGCATTTGTGCTCCGACATTTGTACACAGGTCTCACTATTAAAGATCATTTATTCTTTAATATTTCTCTTCCTATTTTTCTGCTTTTGAAGAAACAAATAAAGAGCTATGCTATGGAACTTGGATTTGTTCAATTACATCATTTCAGTTCTTGCTTCTGTTCTTTATCATGCATAGACCATTGGGTTATTATTACATGAAATTAAATGCATAGGGGCAGTTTTGGTGAGAGAATATTAAACAGTATGTGGAGAATGTAAGTACTGTATGTGCTGAAATTCTCTAAAGCAAGCAAAGTGTTTTCCCCACTCTAGTTATTATTACAGACCCGAAGTAGGGAAATACATGTAAGTGCACCATTTTTTCTCAACATTTTCACATTTTCAAGTCTACTTTGTTAAAAAAAAGTAAAAAAGTAAAGGTTTCCCTAATCCATTTGTGTCCAACTCTAGGCGTCAGTGCTCATCTCTGATTCACAAAGAGTCAGAATTGTCCAAAAATGCTTCCATGGTCATGTGGCCAGCATGACCATACGCTGAAGGCACATAGAACACTGCTACTTTCCCACCTATTTATCTACTTACATTTACATTGCTAGGTTGGTAAGAGTTCGGGCAAGGATGGGAGTGCACCCCATCAGGCAGTACTTGGGTCTCAAACTGCCAATCCTCCGACCGACAAGCCCAGCATCTTAATTGCTTGGTCATTGCGCCTTCTTACTTCATTATAAAAGTATCCCTCTTTTTAATCCTGCTATTCCTCTTGAAATTGTACATTGTAGTTTTTGTATCTTAGAATTTTATTGGTTATAATAAAGAAATGAAACTTTCAGCAGAAACCAGTGTTCTGTTGACAAAAGAGAACTTAGATGTAGGGAGGTTAATAACTTGAAGTTTGTTTTGCTTTGTAAGCTCAGATGTGACTGGAAAAAAAATATTCTGCCATATACTTAAAATAATATGAGAGATGATTCTTGGATTCATAGTCATGCTCCCAAAAGGTGACTTTACTGAAAACACCAGGTATTTTAATTATGCCATGGAAGTGACATAAATATTTTCCTTATAGCATCTTGAAGAAAAGATTTGTGGTGGTTTAAAGACCTGTCAAAATGGTAGCTTTTTATCGGAAGAACTCTTGCTGCTTATGAAGCAGACTTTCTTGTAGTCTATACTGATCTATATTGTAGCTAATAGACAAAATCCTCCCCAAATTCTTCAGCAAAATGTTTTAGAAGATGATGTCTGCAATTAGCAGCACAATTTCTATTATGTCCTACTGGGATAACAATATCCAAAATATAGGTTGAAATCAGATTTAGATGTAATTAAAATAGAACCACTGTAATCAATACATAGTCATAATTTACAGTAGAGTCCACTGATATCAGTAGATCCATCGCAGTCTATTAAATGAGGACTAGGCTTAAAGAGGAATTAAATGACTAACTGCCAACATTGACGTGCTATGAATGTAGTTGTAAGTAACAGCTGTCTGGTAGCATCTGATCTTTTTTTCTCAAAAAAAGTGCATATGTGGGATACCTATATACCAATATAATAGTCTTTGGGGTTTGAAGAAGACATGGTTTGATAGTTCATCTGTGGACACAGAGGTGACTCTGCAATTCCAGTCTAGAAGCACAGAGTCTAGGACAGTGATTCTCAACCTGTGGATCGGGACCCCATTTGGGGTCAAATGACCATTTCACGGGGGTCACCAAACCATGCTGTCCGCTATTTTTTTCCCTTTTCCCTAGCTGTCCTACTCCCTCTTATTGGTGGCCACACCCACTTGGGGGTCACCACAACATGGGGAACTGTATTATGGGGTCACGACATTAGAAAGGTTGAGAATCACTGGTCTAGGACAATGAGAGCACTGGAAGTCCATTGTTATAATAACTGGAGGGAGGGTTATTTTTTGAGACTATTCATGGTTTTCTATCAGTTTTGGGCACTAACTATCTTCAAAGCCAGTGGAGGCTTCAGTGGAGGCACAGGGCTCATCAGCAGGTTCTATCAGTAGCCATAATTTGTAAGTCCCCTTGGCTGATATAGGATTTCTTTCATAGCATCTTTAAAGCTTGATCTTGAGATCTCTTCCTGATTTCTGAGGATGTGCCCACTTATCTCATCTTGGCCTTGAAATAAATGAACACATTATGAAATTCCACTTTCCTGTCAGCAAGTGCCAGCGTTTCATCACTGTGAGCACCCATGGACCAATTTCACAAGTCCAGATGAAGGCAAGGAAGATTTCTATGAGAAATTGAACCAGAGAAGGGAACTAGGGGATTAGCCATTTTGGATCTAATTCTCACTAACAGAGATGAAATGATAGACGGTGTTGAAGCCATAGGAACCCTGGGAGGAAGTGATCATGCAATATTAGAATTCAACCTTATAGAAGCACAACCAATAGAACACAGTCAAACTAGAGTCTTGGACTTCAAGAGAGCTAAGTTCAATACACTTAGAGAGGGCTTGGGAAGGATTCCATGGATGAGAATCCTCAAGGGGAAAACAACTCAAGAAGCTTGGGAAATTTTGAAAAATGAGATAATAAAAGCACAGTCTATCACAATACCAACAAAGAGGAAAAACAACAGCTCCCAAAAGAAACCAGCATGGCTGCATAAAGAACTCTCTGACAAATTGAAAGATAAAAAGGACAAGTATAGAAAGTGGAAAGAGGGGAACATAACTAAGTCAGAATATCAGCAAATAGCCCGAGCCTGCAAAGATGAAGTGAAGAAAGCCAAGGCTCAAAATGAACTGAGGCTTGCGACCAAAGTCAAAAATAACAAAAAAAGCTTCTTTCAACATGTAAAAAACAAGAAAAAAGTGACGGAAATGATTGGTCCATTAGTGGGTGGAAGTGGCAAGAAGGTGACAAGCAACAGGGAGAAAGCAGAACTATTTAACTCATTTTTTGCATCTGTCTTTACACAAAGAGAAAAAACAGACCAACCTATCAAAAATAGTGCCATAAAAAACAAAACAGAAACACAAATTAAGATAGGCAAGAAAATGGTTAGCGAGCACCTGTCCAGCCTAGATGAGTTCAAATCGCCAGGACCAGATGGATTACATCCCAGAGTTCTCAAGGAACTGTCAGATGTGATATCGGAGCCACTGAACTATATTTTTCAAAGATCCTGGAACACAGGGGAACTACCAGAGGACTGGAAAAGAGCTGGCTCTTTCCCATCCTCAAAAAAGGAAAAAAAATGGATCCAGGAAATTACAGACCTATCAGCCTGACCTCAATACCTGGGAAGATCCTGGAAAAGATAATCAAACGACGAATCAACGAACACCTAGAGGCAAACAAAGTCATTACTAAAAGCCAACATGGGTTTGTCAAAAATAGATCATGCTAGACAAATCTTATTGCATTCTTTGACCAAGTGACAAAATTAGTGGATCAGAGGAATGCTGTGGACCTAATTTACTTGGACTTCAGTAAGGCATTTGATAAAGTAGATCACAACCTACTACTTGACAAGATAGAAAAATGTGGGGTAGACAGAACCACCACCAGATGGATCCGTAGCTGGCTGACCGGCCGTACTCAGCGAGTGGTCCTCAATGGAACTGCATCTATATGGATGGAAGTGTGTAGTGGGGTGCCCCAGGGCTCTGTTCTGGGCCCAGTACTCTTCAACATCTTCATCAACGATTTGGATGAAAGGATAGATGGGGAACTCATCAAATTTGCAGACGACACCAAGCTGGCAGGAATAGCCAACACTCCAGAAGACAGGCTTAAGATACAGAAGGATCTGGACAGACTTGAACACTGGGCACTAACTAACGAAATGAAATTCAATGGTGAAAAAAGCAAGGTTCTACATTTAGGCAAGAAAAACCAAATGCACAAGTACAGCATAGGTGGCACTATGCTCAATAGTAGTAACTGTGAGAGGGACCTCGGAGTCCTAGTAGACAATCACTTAAATATGAGCCAGCAGTGTGCTGCAGCTGCCAAAAAAGGCCAACACAGTGCTAGGCTGCATTAACAGAGGGATAGAATCAAGATCACGTGAAGTATTAATACCACTCTTCAATGCCTTGGTAAGGCCAAACTTGGAATACTGCATCCAGTTTTGGTCACCATGATGTAAAAAAGATGTTGAGACTCTAGAAAGAGTACAGAGAAGAGCAACAAAGATGATTAGGGGACTGGAGGCTAAAACATATAAGGAACGGTTGCGAGAATTGGGTATGTCTAGTTTAACGAAGAGAAGGACAAGGGGGGACATGATAGCAGTATTCCAATATCTCAGGGCTGCCATAAAGAAGAGGGAATTAAGCTATTTTCCAAAGCACCTGAAGGCAGGACAAGAAGCAACGGGTGGAAACTAATCAAGGAGAGAAGCAGCCTAGAACTAAGGAGA